AAAAATCGAAAATCTGAATTTAGTTTTTAAATTTGATGTTTTTGATTTAATTATGTCGTCTTAATGAAAAACTATACATATTATAATTTTCAAGCGTTGTTTTCTAAATAGTATGCCCATTAGAATTTGGTTTAGAGAACCTTGAATTATTGCAGACTCAATTGACTTTTGGGATTAATTAAATTGCATACATGTGTTTCAATTTGCAGGTTATATTTCTTATTTCGATTCCTAAACCATGTCTAATCCCAAACGCCCTAGAACTTCATCGAGTCGTTCTCATTCAAACCAACCTCCTAATCCCATTCCTCAACCTCCTAATAGTCTATTAGGATCTTCCTTTAACATGCATGAGCATCGTAGAGACGAATTGTATTCCAAACTTATAGAATCCGTGAAGAGCGTATTCCTTCACTTCAAGCCATGGTTGATATTGACTTCGAATACCTTCCGATTCTTAAAGCTTGGAAGTTTGATAAATTGTTTCAGCTTAAACATATCATCTATCAACAATTGGTCCGCATTTTCTATTCCAATGCGGTGTGTATTCAAAATGAAACTCAATGTTGAACTATAGCCATTAGATCCTATCTTTTAGGCCAATTTATTAATATTGACCCCGAGACTATAGCTTTCCGATTTGGGTTAGATGATAGTGGTATATATAATGAGAGTGAAAATGTGGAATATCCCTATGTTCCAAACTCCAGTGTTAGTACTCTACAATCTCATAACGATCGTTTTCTCCATTTGATGATCTCTTGGTGGTTTAGACCATCCGGAGGTAGGTACTCCACACTTCGTGCTAGGGATTTATGGTGGATGTATTGTATTAAAAATAAAATCAAAATAAATCTGCCCCACATTATATTCAGTCAACTAGTGGACATCATAAACATTAATCATTCAAAACATGTTGAAACATTGATTTATGGATTTCTTCTTAGTAACCTCTTTATCAAACTTGGTCTAAACGTCTCTCTCGACAATCCTAACCCACTCCAAAATCAAATCAATCTTACTTCCTTGAAGAAAGCGGATTGGAAGCAAGACGAGGAAACCGATCTTTGGGTATTTCGACCCGGTAAGCAAACCCTGGGAGCTAGCTCTTCACGAGCTGCCCCTAGCTCTTCTCGTGCTCCTCCTCCTCCTACAGCACTGGCTGCTGATGATGATCCTGAGTTTCATCAACTTATGCAAGATATCGACGATCACGTTCCAGACGATGAGCTTGCACAGGAACCGGCACGACAAGAAGATCAAATGCCACCATATTTTCGATCCTTCTTGGAGTCGTTTGATTTGAGGTTTACTTCTATGGAGTCTCAGATTACTGAGTTTCAGCGGGAGATGCGTGAACGTATGGATGCTCTCACTCTTGAAGTTTGAGCTCATTATCCTCCTCCTCCCGACCCTCCTATGGATTAGACCTTTTTCATGGAGTTGTTTGTTTTGGATTGTTTAATGTTTGAATTTGTTATGGTTTGGATGATTGGATTTTGAACTTAATTTATATATATTTGGTTTGGTTGAATTTTCTTATTTTTTGCATCATTAGATATATATGACTAATTATGCCATTTCACATTTACTTATGAATATTGTTTATGGAACTAATGGCTAATCTCTCTTTTGATTGTGATCTAAGCAGCTTAAGCTATATATATATATTTAATCAATTGGCTATGTTTTTCAAAATCGTGTTTAAATCGATTTTTAAGTCTTTTTGATTTAACAAAAAGGGGGAGAAATGTTAAGTGTTAAAATGTTTTAAAAGGGAGAAGTGTTATAGTAAGGGAGAGTAATTTTTCAAAATTGATTTCAAATTTTTAGAAAATCTTAAAATAACACAAATGTTTTGTTATATCAAAAAGAGGGAGATTGTTGAAAACATTTTTGTGTTTCGATATAACAAATTAGTTTAAATGAATTTTAAGATTTTACAAATGATTTTCTAAGTATATTCGATTTAATTAATCGAATATCAAATTATTACTCCAAGTCTTTTAAGATCAATTTCAAACCTTACTAAATGTGTGAAATTCTGTTTTATACTTAATATATTTTTGAAACAAATTTCGCAAAGTATTTTGAACCAAAATCAAGCCTAAAATCAATTTTTCAGAGTGATGCACCAATCCAAGCATAGATGCACCATGAATTAAATTGAACATCGAATGCATTTCATGCATCGATGCACATACCATGCATCGATGCACTGAGGATTTTATGAAAACATCGAATGCATTTGATGCATCGATGCACCAGCCATGCATCGGTGCACTCTGGCTATTTTGAAACATCGAATGCACTTGATGCATCGATGCACTCTTAGTGCACCGATACACTGAGAGTCCAACGGTCAAAATATTTGAATTTTACACTGATGCTCCGATGCACCTAGGGTATGCATCGATGCACTGATGCTCCCAACTGCTTTAATAAATTGTTTTCACACTTAAACGGCTCTATTGACTCCACTAATCATCCCCAATGTTCAGAATCATTTGAAGATGTATTTAAACAAGCTTAGAAGCCATTGATAAAAAACAAGCAACTAGAATCAAGAGAGAATCAAAGAGAAAGCATCAAACCTCAAGTTTGATCATTTCAAGCCTATTTTTCATTTAATATTCATTTTGCTTTCAAGAACACTACTTGTACTCAATTGTATTCATTCTTGAGTGTTCTTTTCTTTGTTCTAGAATTGTGCAAACAATTTACCTTGTGAGGATTTCCTTATAAGTTTACAAAATTGTAATCTTCTCTTTAGAAAGAGTGTTCTTAAGAATTGGGGTATATTCTTGAGGGTGTTGTAAGGTTATCTCTTTGGCCTCAAAAGAAAGAACAAATTAGTGAATTTGTTAGAAAATCCTTAGTGTGGATAGCTAAGGTAGTGGACGTAGACTTTGGTTGAGAAAGTCGAACCACTCTAAATCGCTGTGCAAATCTTTTTAATTTTCTACAAAAGCTTCCATCGAAATTTTTAATTGCCAATTCACCCCCTCTTGGTCGATTCCGTCGATCGATTAACTCAACAAAAGTTCATGGACTTAATCATATTATTACAATAGTAGGTTTAAACTAACGCCATTAACCAAATTCAACTCACAATTGTCAACATATTTCAATTATAACTTAATAAAAAAGAAAATTAGGGCCAAATTGAATCCATGACCTTTGATAACCTTCTAGTATCAATACTCTAATATGAGTACCGAATGTTCAATGTCGATAATACCATGAGCAGTGTCGATTCCAATGCTCAATGTCGATAATACACTTGATATCTTAAAATTAATTCATTATCGATACTGATTGCACAATACTAATACCAAATGTACCAAATGTACCAAATGGTCATTTTTTTATTAGAGTACTTATATAAATATCAACCAAACCCGTCATAACTTCCATGTCACCAGAATCATACTTAAAATCAATGCAAAAGCACCTCAAAACACCTATGAAACATGCCATTTACCTAAGCATACCAATTCTAATGATCATGCTTAATTATTACCAATACATATACCTTTTACAAATCAAACCTAGTTCCAAATCAAAATTATGATTTTTACCATACATTCATCACATTCTTCATGTTAAAAGTCATAAAGTGAGGATGGCTTTTTTCGGTGATTTAATGCACCAATTTCAGTGGTGTTTTTTGTTGATTTTTTGGCTTAGGATTATTGCACTTTAGTCCCTACACTTTAAGGTATTTTTAAAGATTAGTCCTTAATCTTCAACTATAAATACCCTAACCCATGTAGCTTCAAAATCATCCCAAATCAGTTATTTCTCCCAATACTAAAGAGTTTAGAAAGTTTTCTTATGAGTTAAGAGTGTTTTGTAAACACATGTAAATTTTCTCTCTTTAGTAAAAGATCTGCAGCAGTCCGGAGACGTAGGCATAATTGGCTGAACTCTGTTATCAATTTCGGGTATTATTTTTCCGCTTTTATTTCGCATTCTCACTAATTTGGTTATATGAAAATTACTCGTTACTCGTTTATTTCCCAACAACTAGTATCACAGCTTTTGGTGGTGAATTTTTTGATTTTTCTATGAGGTTACTATTCATGTGAATTTCGTGAATAGTAACATTTGGTCAGTGATACAAATTTGTCGATGGAGGTGTTCTAATACACGGTGGTTCGCAAGAATTGTCAAAAACGATCCAAAAGAAGCTAGATTTGAGTGGGAGCGATGACTTTGAGAAATGAAGTGGATGAGCTCAAGAGGGAGCTACTCATATGCAAGGGAGAAATAAGTGAATGGGGTGCGCTCAAGATCTTCTTGGAAGAACTTAGATTAGGGGCGATGATCGAGGGAGAGCAAGGTGATGCCCATAGACTTTCAGAGGCCATAGCTATAGCCGGAAAGCTGACTCAGCTTGCAAGTGACAAGCCAAGTAGCGATGTGTCCTCTAGGCCCATGCACAGAGATAGAGGCAATAGTGGGGGAGACCGGGAAAAGGTGCAGTGGAGAGATGGTAGAGAAAGCTCTTCGAGTGACCAAGGTGAGCCATCGATTGTTCGTAGCCAAGGAAAGTCATTGGGAAAGAATGGCAAGGCTAAGTCTGGGGCGAAGAAGAAGGTGAGCAAGGAAAAACTTAAGTGCTACTTCTGTGATGGTCCTCATTTGATTAGAGGATTTCCCAAGAAGCATCGCCATACAACCATCATGAAGTGGATGGAAGAAGGAGTAGTGACGGGATTTGGCACGGGCACAAGTGTTAAAGCTACCAAGCCAGGAAAAAGACTTGGTCCGATTGATGGGATCAATGAGGCCAAGCAAGGATCGAGAAGAGGCAATGTTGTTGATGTTGAAGCAGCGAACCCGGAAGAAAGCCCGAGATTGCGAGTATCCAAGCAATCAAGATAGGGGAAAGACTTGGAGAGGCTACATGTTCCAAAGTAGCCGAATCAAGGAGCAAGAGTGGTGCGACTAAAAGTTCTCAAGAAGTAAACCCAGGATCAAAACGTGACGAGACTATGGGTGACAAAGTAGTCGAGCACAAGAAGGGACCCAGTGTGGTAGCAAGAGATAAAGCCGTCAAACCGAGGGTGTAAAGTGAGCAAGTCCACTCACAGTATGCCAGGATGGAGGTGTGGTCCAAGTTGAGGCTTCTCAGGCATAATGGGACACTTAAGTAGTATGTGAGTTGATTTAGAAAACTCATGCCCAAAATCCCAAGTTTGACTGAAGAAGATGGATTCTTCACCTTCATGTTCGGATTGAAGCCATGGGCAAAGAGAGTGTTGGAGCGAAGAGAAGTCAAGGAGTTGTCTAAAGCCTTGACAACCACTGAGTCCATCAAAGAATTTGGAGTCAAGAAGAACAAGACTTCCAAAGCAAAGCCGAAAGCCGAGGGTAGCGGTAAGAGATTCCGTAATGAAGGCAAGTCAGAGGATAAGGAATGTTGTTCCTCGAGTGGAGGAGAAAATCCACTCAATGATGAACTAGATGGTGGATCTGGGGATGATGTGTGCAATCTTGGCACAAGTTCAAGTGCCAAAGATGCTAAGCCGAGGGTAAGAGCCGAGCAAACGAGGGGGCACAAACTTAAGATGCTAGAAGTATTGCAAGATTACTCGAGGGGAGCCGAGTCATCCAGGGTGATGGATGAGCCCAGGATCGAGTTGTCCAGAGAAGTGGACGAACACAAGATCGAGGGGGCATTGAGAGTTGGCTCAATAAGATTCATTTCTGCCAAGGCGAGTAGAAGCCAAGTGCAGGAGGAGTTGGTCATGTCTAAGGAGTTTGCTGAGCATGTTCTTGTAGAGAACATGGCTTCAGAGACCATCATAAGTGAAGGGTTGAAGAAGGGGCTTACCAAGGATGTTGAAGAGAGGAACAGTCCTTAAAAGACTCATAGACAAGAGTCGAAGGGGGCCAAGACATTGAGGGATAAGGCAACCACGGAGAAACTGCCCAATAACAAGTGGGTTTACAGGGCGGTGACTACAGACAAACTGAAGTTGTGTTCAGCTTCAATTGGCATGCTAGAATAACAAAACTAGAAATACTGTTGCATTGATCGAGGTGTGAAGACAGATTAAAATCAGCCTTCAATTGGGAGATTGTTAAAAGTCAGAAAGTAAAGCTGGTTTTTTTTGGTGATTTAATGCATCGATTTCGGTGGTATTCTTGTTGATTTTTGGCTTGGGATTATTTCACTTTAGTCCCTACACTTTAGGGTATTTTTAGAGATTAGTCCTTAAGCTTCAACTTTAAAACCCTAACCCATTTAGCTTCAAAATCATCCCAAATCATTTCTTTCTCCCAATACTAAAGAGTTTAAAGAGTTTTCTTGTGAGTTAAGAGTGATTTGTAAACACCTGTAAATTTTCTCTCTTTAGTAAAAGATCTGCAACAGTCCGGAGACGTAGGCATAATTGGATGAACTCCGTTATCAATTTCGGGTATTATTTTTCCGCTTTTATTTCGCATTCTCACTAATCTGGTTATAGAGAAATTACTCATTACTCGTTTATTTCCCAAAACTTCAAGCATCACATAGGCACTTCATGCATAGGTTGCATGATCATATAGCTTTATCACTCATAAAATCAATCATTCATTCATGAAACTTTCCATAATTAACTAACTTAAATAAAATAACATGAAAAATGTTTTGCATTACATTCACCAATCATGCATCATGAAATCAAATGCATTTACCTAAATGACTTAATATGCATACTTGAGTGATCTTACCTTTCATCACCATAACACTTTTGGGATTGCACCATCATCAATACACGCTTTCAGAACCAATACAACATACAAAGCTTTCAAAATTAAAAATAAATAACATACACCTTAACTACATATCAACTACACAACAAAGACATATACCACCATCGAGGAGTTTAGACACAATGAAATTACATTGATTGCTTCGGAAGTGACTTGCAACATCCTAAATACAATCATGATCGATCAATGAGTACTAAACACCTGAAAACACATCATGTTCATAATGTAAGCATAAATATTAGTGAGGTAGTTAACAAATATGCAACTAAAGAATAACATAACATTAACATGTAAAATGCATGTAATTAAATAAATGCAATGTGAATGCACAATACATGCATGAATGCAAATGCAAATGTAAATGCAAAAGGTATTAATTCCAAAAGTGATCACCGTATAAACTTTTTCATTTAGATAAAAAGGTTCCAATACATCATGCAACCAAGCAAGCTTCCAACCCTAGCTTCATCTAATTCAAAATTATCATTGCATCGATCAAGGTGTTGGACTACTTTCGCACTGGATGACAAACATTCTTGAATCATCAATTGTTGATATTTTTGGGGTAGTTGGTCTAAATGACTTAACAAATATTTTCCCGAGTTATTCACGAATATTTTCCCTAGTGAATTGATCTTTTACTTGCTCAAATTATTGCTCTCTAAGGTGAGTGGTTGTCCATTCACTTATGATGAGAATCTTCAATGTTGGAAGAGGGCTTAGTTGTACTATGAATCATATTCTAAGAGCCTAGAGTAAGTAGGTTTCCCTTTGATAATTGATGATATGGAATTGTGGTGCATTGATTAATGTATGTCACTGAAAGCAAAGAAGCATGTCATGTGCATTGTGTTACTCTTTGATGCATAATGGATTTGGAAAACTAATTTGGAAAATTTATGTGAATATATATGATGTGGGATGAGTAGAACTACTCTACTATGCATGGATGAGTGAGCAATTCGATGTGCAAAATAGGTCGATTTCGGTTCGATTCGGGTTATTTCGAGTTTTGAATCAATTTTGGATTATTATGTTAAGGTCTATATCAAGTCTCGGATCAGGTAAATCGATTCGAATAATCGGATACACGTCAAATTTTTCATATTAAATTCGATAGTTAAAAGTAAAAAAAAATGTGGTTATAATGATATTAGTTATTAATTAAAGTAACAATAATTTAATAATTTTTTTAATTTAATTATTATTTGTTTAACTTGTATCACAATATATATTCAAAATTTTAATTATATAAATATCAATATGTTTTCATAGAAGTGTTATTATCTAGTATAGAGATTTCTTTACACTACTTAACCTAATTTAAATTTTACGAATATAATCCAAATACGAAGGTAACCAAACTCAGGAATTTGAGGGATCGAACAAAAACAGATTGCAAGTATTATGATTAATAAAGGTAGGGTACGTGTCAATCACATTGCCACGTTGAGATCCTGTGTTAATATTGAGGACACCTGTCCTTAAGTCCTACTTTTTGGAACAAATGGAGAAGAAAGCAGTTTGGGTTACTTTTGAAAATTGGTTCAGAGACTTTCCTTGAAGTCATTCTTGCAATTCTCCTTCCTCCCGTTGGAGTCTTCCTTCGTTATGCCTGTGGGGGTAATCAGTTGATTTTCAGTCAAAAATTTATGTTTGAAGAGTGATTATTGATTAAATTAAAAAGTAAAAAAAACGGTAATTTTGCATTGAAAAGTTCGACTGAGTACTTCTTGGAGGCATTCACTGATGAACTTACCCAGATATTGCATTTGAGTTTTTTTTTTTTTTTCAAATATGGCATCACTGTTTTTATTTTTCAATCTATAATAATTACTACAAGAAAAGTAAAGTTGATTTAACTAGAAATCGATTTCATTGTTCATCTATTTTTTGAATCTTGATATTTGTAAATGAAATAAATTAGGTTAAAATGGTTGCTCTTATTTCTGCAATAGTCAATTTAGATAATCGATCAATAGATTATATCAATTTTTATAAAAAAAAAAACAAAAAACCAAAAAAATACAAACCAGCTTTATTGTTCATCTAGTTTTTTTCTAATCCAAACCTTACGTATGCTCCTGCTGCCCACTGCCCTAGCCTCACCTCTACCGTAAACCTAACTACAGTGAAGTCGGTACGTAATTTTGATCAACTTTCATTGTGTTTGAATTTTTTATTAAAAAAAATAAAGATGAGCAGTGAAGTAGGTATTGATATGTAGTTATACCATTTTCACTTTGATTATAGTAAATTTCATAGATTAAAAAATAAAAATGGTAATATCATATTTTGAAGAGAAAAAATTGGGTAATTTCACCGGCATTCACTTATAAATTTCAATTTTTTTTCTTTCAAATTCTAGCATTATAAAACTTGTGGGGATTTGTAGGCGGAATTCTGGATAGATTTGGTGTTGACATTATTAGGTTATATTCCTGGAATTATATACGTAATTTATGTATTAGTTGGATATCTAAGAGCCGAGATTTTCTCTCTTCTTTTTTAGTTTTCTGTGTTGATGTAGCACTAGATTTTGGTGTGTTCCCCTCCTGATAGAGATTAGATGTGGTTTGTAAACACCATTTTTTTTTATTATTTAGTTTATTGTTTTATCATTATTTTATAATAAAAAAAGAAATAATGTTATATGTTACATTTGGGGTTATTAATACCCCAACCGCCCTAGTATCAGACACACAGAGCCTTATCCCGAAAATTGAGGAATGAAAAGAAGTTTTTGTTGACTTTTGTTTTGCTCTCCATTCTTTGCTTTCTTTGGCTCCTTTTTTTTTTTACAGTTTTATTATTTTTTTTCTTTTGGTTTTCAGGAATCATGAGTTGCAGGAAGAGTTGCCACTGTTGAGAGGCGGCCAACGAGTGAGAGAGGCCGACATTGAGGCTCGTCTTTGAAGCTTCTCGGTCGTCGTATGGGCAAGAGAAAGAACGGGGAGAGAAAGAATGGGGGAGAGAACGAGAGAGAGATATGAAAAACGGGGAGATTTTAGGCCGTTCATGAGGTCGACCGGTCCTCCTCCGGTCTCAGTCGAGGTCGCCGGTGGGTGTAGGTCAATAACCGTCCCTGTGGCAGACGTGTGGGGGTCGGTGAGCGGCAGCCGAATGTATGTGGAAGCTTAGGGAAGTTCTCTGCTGAGTTACGTGAAATGAGGAGAGTATTTTGATTGTATGAAAAATAGGTAAATCACGTATTAGGTCCCCTATTTCTAGGAGTTTTATGTTTTGTTCATCTATTTTAGGGTTAAATATCAGTCTAGGTACTCCCAGTTTTAGTGTGTCTTGCTTTTGGTCACTATCAGGGTAAAATCACCTTTAAGCTCACTGTATTTTAGTTTCTTTTGTACTCTGGTCATTTACTTTGTTATTTATTTTGAATATGTATATTGATTTTATTAACTTTCGATTTGGTCATTATTTTTGCTATTTTATTCGTTATAATTTAGCTGTTGTTTTATTATTTGTTGCATTTTGGTCACTAGACCTCTCTTTTCTAATTTATTGCACTTTTATCATTTTGTTTTGTTTTATTTTAATTTAGTCAACATTATTATTCTGATTTGTTCAAATTTAGTCACTGGTTTTTACGTTTATTCATTTTAGCCACTATTGGATTTTACTTCTTATTTTATTGTGATTTGGAATTGATATTTGTAATCTATTCATTTTAGTCACTTTTTAATTTCTGATTTAATTATTAGTTTTTATTTTCTTGCATTTTAGTCAATGTAATTAAATTTTATTGCAATTAGGTCCTTGTACGTATTTTTTTATTTTATGTTGTTTTTACTGTTTCTATTTTTTTTTTGTTGTTTTAATTATTTAAATTAAGTTTATTATTAATTGTTTTGTTTCATAGTTTAATTTCTTAGATTGAATTTTAAATTAGATTAACATTCGAATCAAGCTTAGTTTTAATTAGGGAACAATTCGAGTCGAGTTTTCGCATAAGATGCTCGATTACTCGAATTGATTGCCCGACTTTTTAAATTTTATTAATAATTAATATTTTCTAAAAAAAAACTTTAGGTTTAATAATTTAGATAAAAATTAGATTTTTAATAGTCCTAAACTTTAGAAATTGGTAATTTAGGTCCTTTTTCTTTTAAGTCTTTTAGAACTTAGTATTATTTAGATCTTTAACATTTAGTCCCAGAACATCGATTAGACCTTTAATATTGACATAATTAAATAGGTTAAATAGAGTTTTCACTTTTAGTTAGATTTCAAATCAGTCTTTTAATTTAGGGAATAATTCGAGTTGGCCCTCGCTTAAATGCTTGAGAGATTATCTCGATTATTTGATTCAATAATTGATTAAAATCAAATAAGATTAATATTAGAACGTACACATCTAGGTGTGTGCCTTTAAGTCCTTTAATTTTCATAATCTAAGACCTTAACTTAGAAAAAACCTTAATTTACTTTTAAAAATTAGAATAAATAAAATTTTGTTTGGTCGCATTTTATTTTTAACTCTAAGGCATTGTTTACTTATTAAGGAATTAATAGTATATCTCTCACAATCATGCTCTGGGGTGACTACTGGTAATTTCCGAAATAAGTTGACATCCTTTTCAAAACATCATCATGATTTTTAAAATTAAGGCAATGTCCGGTTATTAGGCACAATAGTTGATCTCCCGCTTTTATGCTAGGGGTGAATGTTATCGGCCTTAATAAATTGATATCCTTTTCAACTTTTTGCATCCATAATGATTTTTAAATTAAATAAAGATCGAACTCATATTTTTCGATTTTAAATATAGGGTAATTAACTAGGTACCAATTTTTGAGCGCTTTTGGGGGTATTAATCCTTCCCCACGCGTAACTAACTCCCAAACCTGATTTCTAGATTTTCGCAGACCTAAAACTTGATATTTTGATAAAAATAAAATGTTTTATTAAAATCACCCAGTTTTTAATGGTGCTCCAATCGCACCTTAAGTGATTGGTGGCGACTCCTCACATTATGATAAATATTTTAAAAGAGAAAACCCCTAGTCGGTATCGGTCTTTTTCCCGCCCGGGCGAAAAACAGTGTCGACGGTTTGGCAACTCTGCCGGGGACTTTTTCTTTTTAAACAACTTGAGAGTCGAGCCACGAGATGGTTACCCTATATTTATTATTTTGAAAATTACGAGTTCGACCTTATTTAATTTACGGTTCATTATGTTCTTTCAAAAAAATGATTTTTTTTATCTAGTTAATAATGCTTACACTTTTGTGGAATTATTTAAGATTGTTGCATATCATATCTCTAAACACGATCTCAAACTTGATTTACCTAAGTAGGGAGAAACGTCGCACCTCACGGGAAACATTGGGCTTTCTTGTGTGGGTCTGATAAAGTATCTCTGGAAAACATCCTAAGTTGCCTATTCGAATATCAGATCCGATGTACGCTTTTAGTGGTGTGAACCCCTGAGCTGAACCTGATTCGTAAGTCTGTAATGAGCCAGAATCGGGGTCAACCTTAGCAGGTTGTAAAGGTGGCTCGGGAACCTTTGTTAGAACCCAACCTCATATAGAGAATTTTGTAAGCCTACCCCGCTAGAGCCATGTGGATAACCTAGGAGAACTAGAACGCATGTTGTTAGGACTATAAATTTCTTTTATATTATTTATTTTTCATTCTCAACTTTGAGTCATATTTAATTATTTCTGCTAAGATTACATTTTTTGACTAATCATTTTAACTAACTTGATTTTTTTTTACTTGTTTCTACTAACATTGATTTTATTTTGTCTCCTCTTATTGCATTTTTGCATGAACATGACATATCATTCAAAAGTATTGATCCCTAAATAACTGATCATTTCGAAAGTTCTTGAAAAACAATACCACAACAATGCCTTTTGTTGGGATCGGTAGGATTTCAAAGATACTCCACGTAAATCGAGTAGCGTCAAGAGGGAGTCTACCTACCAAGGAGACGAGTCATATATCTTCCCGTTGAGGTAACAAGTTGGACTTGAGATGATTCGTCGCTGAAGCCAACAATTGCAGATCATGAACCAGCTCAAAAGATTTCTGGAAGTAGAAGACGAAGTAGAAACATTGAAGATGATGTAGTACCATGACGCTCGCAGGAGCTAGGAGACTTACAGATGGACTAGATCTTCACTTCTCCAGTGTACCAAGACATTGTTAGTTTTTCAAGAATTGTTTAAGGAATAACTATTTTTTGGATCAATTCCTTGTTGGATTTGCATCTCACACTTTGCACTCTCATTTTTGCATCTTTGCATTTGCATGTGTATCTTTTCATCCTTGTATTAGCATATATACATTGTACATTACATGGTATACGTTGTGACTCGATGTGCATTAATCATGGACCAGGGAGTAAATTGCGGAGAATCTTGTGATAAACGTTTTGAGGTAAAATGATGTCACCCTATTCGTACCAAAAATGATTGAGAGATATGGATGTGATGTTAGCGTCGTATGAAGTTCGAGGCACATTATCGAGATCCGTGGGGCACTGAGAAGCAAAGCCAATATTTTGTTTGACCCATGAGTGACACAGTAAATGGGGGGTTTTGGTAAAAAGATATTCAAATAATAAAAGCGATTTAAATTAAAAATAAAGAAAATATTTTAAAGTGATAAATTGATATGGTAAAAAAACCTCAAGCTTTGATTTGACTCAATTTCTTTCAGTTCATCGAATTAGATTTTCCTTTCGGGATTCACATCGGTTACTTTCTCTACAAGGGCAATCCCCGTGACTCTTATCTTGTATACCAAATACCCAAGGTAGTCTTTGATTCCAGCTTCAGAAACTAATCTAATCAACATCAATTGTCGTAGATCAATTACCGTTTAAATTCGTCGCGACCGACTCAGATTTTTGCTTCCATAACCGTTAATTCTGATCTCAATTCCCTCTTGGAGAAGCTATCTTGCCAAGTGTGTTCCCAAGAAGTCGAATGTGCTTTCAATAAGTCGATTCTTCCTCCTACACATTTAATCGCAACAACCTCTTGACTAAATTCAATCTTTGATTTTGAAAAATTGTTTTGATTTTGAAAAATAAGCGCAAAGATTGAGAGAAATATTCGGAAGTTATTAAGGGCCCGTTTCAATTCTCCCGTTGGAATTAAGTCATCGCTTCAGCTCTCGGCTTATGAGAAATTTAGCTAAGCATGACAAAAGTCTTACTTAGCATATTTAAAAATAAAGATTTAAAAATAAAGGAAAAATCGAAAACTTGAAGAATAAAAATAAAAAAGAGAATTTTTAATAAAAACTAGAAAGAAGAAGAAGATTGTAACCTAAGTTTTACTTTTAGGCTTACCCCAAGAGGGTATTTGTAGCCTCTCAAAGCCTAAGATAAACAAAGAAATTAAAATAAAATAATCCTAATGATAATTGTTTTTCACCTAAATTCAAACTTTAAACAAGTCTCCTAATGCAAGTCTGCTCGTCCATCTTCCAAAAGGCGCACTAAGTAGATCTTCTAGAAACTGCCGCTGACTAGACCTT